TCCCTTCCCACCTATACCGGATCCATCAAAAAAAAAAAACATAAATACATCTTGTATTCACATAACAGAAAATACAAATCACAGGTTTGTGTACAAAGAAACAATATTTGACCTTTACACAAAGTTATCTGCGGAAATTTTCTCCACGTAGGATATAAATGGCTGCCAGATGTCAAAGAATTTGTTTACAGATCCCTAACAGTATATCTAATCTTCTCTAAATGAATGTAAGACATAACTTCTCTTAACCAATGACCATATACTGGAGGATGTGGATCCTTCCATCGAAGAAGAAKRWGTCTTCTAGCCAGTAGAGAGCAGAAAGCTAACACCATCCTCTGATGTTCACTGAGGGAAGCTTCTGCTGGAGCCACCCCAAAAAGAAAAATGAGTGGTGATGGATGAACAGTTCATCCAAATAATCCTGAAAAGGTGTCAAAGATGCCTTGCCAGTATCCATGTAACTCAGGACAGGACCACCAACACGGTGGTGCGCAGAGAAACAACCTCTTCAGACCAGGTTGACAAGCCGTCCTCCACCTGTTTAACGCTCTGTTTAACGTGGTCCAGATCTGCGCGCAGTAGCATCGTGCCGTTAGCCACCTCTGCTCTCACCGCTTGTAGCTCTCCTTTAATAAGAGTAAACTCATCAGCCAACGCCGCTTTTATTTCGGATTTGATCACAGCTGAGAAATCGGTTTTTATAGCGGCAAGAATGTCAGACTTCAAGGAGAGTGTGTTTGCCTCGCTGCGGGAGGGAGAGGAGGGCGCCGAAGGTCCGGCTTTAGCTGCAGTCTGCTCCGGGGCGGCGTCGGGCCTAACAGCCGTCGAGCTGGAATGTTTGCCTTTCCTTGAGTTTGTCGCCATTCTTCTACTCTTTCAGGCAAGAATCACTCAGGGGTCGAGTCCGGATGGACCAAACGTTTAAAACAGCAAGGACATTTAGTACAGAACCACAAACTGAACAAGTCGGAGCGGGAGCCATGCGACACACGTCTCACTCCTCCGCCATCTTGCCTTTAGTCTCTCACTCCTGTTTTATTCTGGCTTATTACTTAAAAAAATACTATCCTGATAAACTGTGTCTCCTGGATAGAATGAATTTAATTATGGTTGGATGAAATATATACCATTCTGACACCCTTTTAGCTTGTACACAACCCATCACAGCTGCACGCTGTTAGAAAAAATATTTTTTGGAGAAGTCACCTCCCAATAAATGTCATTTTG